TGAAAGGAGTTGATGCAAGACAGGAAGAGGACACAATCTCGTAATTAAACTTTGACAAATTAAAACTTTTGACTTTGTCGCCGCTCTGAAACAGTAATTGCGTCTTATTTTCTTCAAGCGTTAGGCAGAGTAGTCGGTGTTAGAGAGTGTTTTTAGTGAAGGTTTAAGTATTCCTGCCTGCTTCTGGGATTCTCTGTGAATAGATGTTACTTCTAACTGATGGGAGAGGGCAGCCGGAGTTACTGTCTGGAAGCGGACATGGCCTCAGAGCCTCCCCTGCTCCTGCTGCGGGAGGAACAGCCCTTTCTCCATCCCGCCGGAACCAGCGCGTGCCTTGGCAAGCGCGTCCGCTGATAAAGCTTCCGTTCGAAAAGCAAAACCGTACAGACCAGCTACAGTCCTAAGTCCCGTGCGTGAGCTTTCTGAGGTCACCTTAGAGGTATCCATCCATCTGTCAGAATTCATCCCTGAGGCAAAGAAAAACCAACAGTTACTATCCGCGGCCTTCGGTTCATCGACAGAATCAACACAGCTACGGTGTTCGTGAAAGCGCACAGGCTCCAAAAAAAGAAAAAAGAAAACAGCTTGAGTCCTCAGAAATCCTATCTAACAGAAAATACATCCCGCTCTCCTGCTGTGCCCTACCACTGCCAAGCCTCTTTCTTCTCTCTTTTGCACACAGCAGCTGCTAGGGATCCAGGACTCTCAGCAAAGCCAGCAGTCAAGGAGAGCAAGCTCACAGGGACAGCTGTGAGGAAGAAACGCTCCTCAAGGGAGAGCAAATCTTTACCGAGGCCACTGCTTTTCCTTATCTGTCAGAGGAACGTAGATCACACCCATCAGCTGCGTTTCGACGATCTGCCCGTCGCTGGTTTTGTCGTACTGCATCAGAACTTGGTTGGCACCTTCGGGACCCACGGGCAGTATTAACCGACCTCCTGGCTTCAACTCATTCAGCAACTGGCAAGCAGAGAAATCGGAATCAGCAGAGCCAACAGAAGGAGACAACAGGAACGAGCCACGCTGTGAGCTTCACGCCGCCTTGAGAAGCACGAGCTTGCCAGCTCCACGTAAAACAGACCGAAAAAGAAGAATCGAGTGGTTCTGTGATTATGAGGTTTTTCACAGCGACTGATGCAGGCAGCCCACAGCAAGAGACATCCAGCACGACCACTCTTACCTCCTTTGGTACCGTCGCTGCTGCTGCTCCAACATGGATGGCATCGTAAGGAGCCTCCTCGGGGTATCCCTGCCTGCCATCTCCAACTACAAGAGGGAAAGCATGCAGAAGAGAATTTTGTTCAGACAACAACTCCACACAAAAATCATTCTTCCTATATCTTTCCAGTTGAAAGCTAGATGACGAGAACTTTGTAACAAGATTGCCATGGGAATTTGAATTCTGTTGGGTTATTTTTTAAAAAGGGGGAGAGATTTCTGGAAGTGAGCCATGCTAGAAGGAACAGCCAAAGCCAGGAGAGCCTTTCAACAACACAGCAACTTGTGCAGGCTTGAGATTCCAGATAAAGGAAGAGCTGGCTCAAGTTATCCTCCCCCAGAAAACCAAAACAGTGTGTCCAGAGCCATCCAGATAAACTCCAAGCCAGATGTGGTACGACCACTCGCTTCTGAAGAGCGTGTCATATTGAATTAAGACAGTCACTACACACTTGAAAGTAAGGTGTACGATGACAAGACTGCCTGTGACACTAAATACTACTTGTTTACACCATAGCGTTCAGGTCAGCGTAGCACATGCTGCTTCCTTAGCCAGTGGTTTCTGAAAACACTGTGGGAAGCATCAACGCACACTGGAACAAGTGCTTCGAGAAGCAGAGCTCTGCAAGCAGCCAGAGCTACTGCATTCCCAGGAGGGAACAAGCACCAGGATCCCAGAGCACTCACCCACGAGTTTTACACGGCCGGAGCTGAGCAAGGTTGGATCATCTTCTTGGACGTTTCTGATGGATTCATGTACCAGTTCTGTAATGTGCTCTACGCCCACAGCTTTCCCTGTTGGGCCCATCTGAAAAAAAAACCCAGCAGACAAACACCTAACACCTCGTATACATAGGGAGATGTATTTATAGGGCAAGTTACTGTGGAGACTGGAGAATTTCCAGGAAGAAACTTAAGAGTAGGGTTTCTGGACAGGAGCTGCAATACCCTGCCCCCTTGGTTTTAAAGGCTGAGTAGTCCCAGTTGTATTAGCTACTCAAGGGATACACAGACACTGCCTACAGGGGTTCCTAGTAATCCTTCATTTCCAAAGAAATAATTATTTGGTAGAATTAGCAGTTTCTGTGGCCAGGCCAGTTCTTGACTAACTTACCTCCTGAGAGGAGTAACTTGATCAGCTTTCTAGCACTTCACAGAAAATACTTGCAGGAGTTTAGAAAACAAGAGAGACAGACTGTGACTACTTAAGAAGCAAACTAAAAAGAACCTACAACAGACTTGCACAGCAGATGAACACACTCCTCTCGATCTGACCAGGGTTAACATCCGAAACATCTCATGGCACATACAGCATCCATTTGGATTCCAAAAATGACTGGATTTGGTTCTACTACAAGCTGGTCTGGGAAGAGTTTACCCCTTCCTCCCACCTCCTCCTCTCTCCCCCAAGAAGCACATGCCAGCTGTGACAAGCTACCTGTCCTGATGCCCCTTGCTCACTAGAAACGGAGTCCTGTGAGCTTACCATCCTGGCGAAGCAAGCTGTAAGATATCCACTTCCAGATCCAACATCCAGCGCTTTCCCACCTTCCACGAGCTGATCCTTCAGCAATTCCAGCGCGTGGGCATGCTGTGTGGACAACAAGTACAAGGAGGTGTGAAACATCCCGTTTTAGCTTCCTCTCCTCAAACTTTTCCTTGTCCTAAGCGTTATCTGCTCTGATTTAAACGCAGCACACCCGGTATTTTGTCTGACACATTCCGAGTGAAATTCAGGCCTTTGATCTGGAAGATCTTTTCGCAGAGCAGCATTTAGGAAGAGGTTCAGTAACCAGAGGCGAAGCAGCAGGAAAGAAAGGCCTCATGCAAAAACTGGACAACATTAATGGTTAGCCTCAGCTGCACAGAACTTGATCTGAGCACACTTTTAAAGCAACTTGAAGAGTCTAGGGCAAACTCTTGTTAAAAATAAAAAAGCTTCACACAGACAGTGCCTAAAGAAACAGCACGATAATCACGTCTGTGGGATCTGTTTTACCTTTCTTCTTTAGTATTTAAAAAAAAAAATTAAATAAAACCGGTAAAATAAAAACAATTTCCCCCATTTCTGCTAAAAGTGAGATGTTTCACTTACCATATGCGGTGCGCTGATCGTAGCCTTGTATCCTGAAAGGAAAACAGGGACAAAAGTTACGTGATAAAGACACAGCAACTAAAACCACCAGTGTGAACAGTTCCTTTATTCTCCCCCACTTTCCTCTACAAAATACAAAACCCACTCTTCTCTTTTGCTCGGCGGAACGCTCCGCAGCTCTCGCAGCCTGCGCTCGCTCCCGCTCCCTACGCAGGACTCGGAGCAATCAACAACCATTCCGAGCATGGAAAAGCCGTGTCGTTCTTCCCTCAGGATCTCGTGGGTGAAATACAGATGGGGTTTGCTCTACCTGACCTATCTTAAAACCCAGCTGCTGCTGTGGGGAGGGAGTGCCCGCCACGGAGAACTCAGACCCGCCGAGCCGCGCTCATCCGTCAGCGCGATGAGCACAGTCCATGCACACACCGTAAGAGTCTGATTTTTTTTGTGTCCAGTTTTGGGCCCCTCACTTCAAGAGGACGTTGAGGTGCTGGAGCGGGTTCAGAGAAGGGCAATGAAACTAGTGAAGGGTTTGGAGAACTTTTCCCATGAGGAGAGGCTGAGGGAGCTGGGACTGGTCAGTCTGGAGAAGAGGAGGCTCAGGGGGGACCTTATCGCTCTCTGCAATTCCCTGAAAGGAAGTTGTAGGGAGATGGGGATCGGTCTCTTCTCCCATGTTAGGAATGACAGGACAAGACGGAATGGCTTCAAAGTTATGCCAGGGGAAATTTAGGTCAGATATCAGGAAAAATTTCTTCACAGAGAGGGTTGTGAAGTATTGGAACAGGCTGCCCAGGGAGGTGGTGGAGTCCCCATCCCTGGAGGTGTTTAAAAACCGTGTGGATTTGGTGTTGAGGAACATGGTTTAGGGACCCTGACAGTGCAGGGTGAATGGTTGGACTCAATGATCTTGAAGGTCTCTTCCAACCAAATGATTCTACGATTCTATGATTTTCCCGTAAGTTACTCACCGATAGATTGAGGAGAATCCATGTACGGGAAATATTTGATGTAGTGACCTCTGTCAGTAGCCAACAGCACATCAAAGACTCGCTGGGATTTAATTATCCCTTTTTCTGGAGAAGAAGGAAAACAGACAGAAAGGGCTTAAATCCTCGCTCCTACAGCAAGAAGAGATTTGGAAGGGGGGAGTACAGTTCAGGGAGTGAGTGGAACTGGGAGAATTCAACCTCAGCAAGGGATCTGAGAAGGGACAGAAAACAAAAGTGCAGAGGGAAGTACATCCTTTTCAGCTTCTGCTACACCAAATGAAATCCTGTTATGGTCCCAGCCATCAGCCCAGTCTCTCTCAGAGGATGGTGACTTACAGCCACGACGTTTCTGGGGCTGTCAAACGTCATGAAAGATAAATAGCATCACACTTTCACTCCTGAAAGCGGAGACTCAGGTTCAGGAGCGCTGGCACGGTGAGTAAATGAAAACGAAGAGCGATGACTGCAGAAACGTTCAATGTGCCTTCACGCATCACCTCTGAGGGAACTCTTACAGGGAAAAAAATCAGCTTTAGCAGCAGGGGACATCCAAAGCTGTTTCTAAGCGTGTTGCAGCCCGCTGTCCAGAGCGGAGCGGCAGCTCCGAGCGCTGCTCCAGTCGCGGGGTGCCTCGCTGGAGGGCAAGCAGGGGCTGCCGAGGAGCTCAGCCCCCACCGGCTCCGAGCAACGTCACGTTGTGCAGCGTTTTAAAAGGGAGGAGAGCCGAAGGCAGGCTGTGGATAGTCTTCCCTGCCCCTTCTGGCATAACACCTTGTGTCCAACTACAAACAGAACAAGTTCAGACGGGGACACATCCTGAAATTCGGGCAGTGTTAACCCAACATCCCACAACCTACCACCACACAACGCCGTTACACCGACAGACGCTATCGGCAGCTTTCGGACGCGCTCCGAAGAGCGGCCCGCGCCGGTACTCACTGTAGAGGTTGTTGACGAGCTCCGGGTGCGTCTTCCCGCTGGAAGTCCAGGCCATGGTTCTGGAGAAGAGCAGTCCCATGAGTGCAAGCGCGGCGCAGGGCAGCGGGCAGCTCATCCCACGGAGACGGGCAGCGGCCTGCGGAGAGAGGG